GAGTCACATATGGGGGAGGAAAAAAAAAAAAAACAACCTATAGAATGAAGCCTCAAAAGACTATGAATTGAGGAGTTCATGCATAAATGCCACATAACAATAACTGTCACTCTTCTTCACCAACTGGAATTTTGCACATGAGCATGAATGGGGCCTGAGCACCCATCTGGGGTGAGGACAGTTGCACCAGCCATCCAACCATCCTCACTTTGCTGATTTGCCAGACTGATACCCATGACATTCATGACAAGTTACTAAAGTCATCTTGTCTCCTGCATTTCCACATTCCTGCAAACTTGTATGAACAGGGTACATGTGCTTAGGTTTCTGAATGTCGGCAGACTTGGAGGGATCACCATTGCTCCACTCAACATCTCCTGGTGCTGAATTACACATTTGTGCTGACCCATCACTGTCCTCTTCAGCTGCCTCTTTCCTTACTTACCATGAAAGGACTCCCACCTTGCTGGGATGAGTTCCTTTCTTCTCCCCTGCATCTGTTCCCTTCTTCTTTGTATCCACCCTCTTTCCTTAGTACCTGTGACATCTAAAAAGAACTTAGAGTGGGAAGAAAGACATACACAGCTTCTAAGGTATTTCCCTGACCTTGCACAGTTGGGGTATCTGGAGTGCAGAACCAAAAGCACCTCATTTTGTCCCAACCTTCTCCCCTGGCCTAGGCAAGATTCATAACATGTGTTGCAAAGCCCAGCTCTATAAAGCCACATCAGCAGGACTTAGGTAGATAGCATCAGTTCCTCTGGAGAGTTCGCTTTGCTCTTCAAAGGAAGGAACTTACCTTGCAAGGTAAAGAGTCTGTTATCTCCTGTACCAGGTTAGTTATCCCACCAGGAACAATGTGCTATGTGTTAGGATTCCCAGCACCCAGCCATAATGGCCCAATTGTAAGATGTCAGTCCACACAAATGGCTCCTCAGTCATGTGGGGCACAAAGCCAAGGAGATTCTGCTATGCTTGTCACTTCTGCAGTCCCTAAGTAAATATTGCTCAGGAACCTGATGAGATCAATTAATGACATAAATCATGTCACAAAATGATGCAACTCTTTCATGCTACTCCCTGGATTAAGTATTTTAATGGTTTTCCCTCCCCTGTCATACACATGGACAACCTTCTGTGACACTGTGGGCCATAGTAGTTTGCTCCAAGACAATTGTCATCTTGATGGTGAATCTGAGCTTTGTAGCCACAGCTGAGTGTGTACAGAGCCAAGATTGACAGCTTAGTTTATTGGGTTCATTTCAATTTTTATTTGGACATATACAGATTGTATATTTAGATTATTTCTGATTATCTCTACATTGCCTTAGTATTAGTGATATGAATTCCTACAGTGTTGATCTACCCTTCCCACCCTCCATTGATAATTTTTATCTCCCACCACTTATTGGAGTGGATGTGTTGCCTCACACCATGTGACTGTGTGAGCATCCAGGCATCAAAGGTTCAACCCCCCCCCCAGCTTGTCATCCTTTGATTTGCTAAGCAATGCTTTATCCATGTGTCAACAAGGCAGGGTTCTTCTGGCAAATCCACTTCTGCCATAATTATATTGAGTCTTCTCAAATCACCCTAATCCTCTAATATAAATATAGGTCTTATAATGAGATAATATACTCTTGGTCAGTTTATTACAGAAAAGTAGATGAATTAAAATCAGCAAAGGCACAGGGGTTAACTCCCAGAGCAAACAGATGCAAGTGCCTGGGTGTGCTCTTCCAGTTTAGTCTTTGTCCACCTTCAATTCTCCCAGCAGTGATGTCTGATGACATATGTTAGGGGTTTTTGTGGGGGACTGACATATATTTTCCTAGTTTAAGAATTAAAGTTAGTGAGTAATGTACGTGTTCTGCCCAGAGTGTTTGAAAGTGTTCTGGACAGGCTCCCTGTGATAAACAAAGGTGTTGCCTAGAGGCATAACAAAGGACCTGAGTGACAACTAGCAAGAGTAGCCCTGCCCCATGGCATTGGGGGTCTGGAAGCCGCACGGTAAACACCTCATAAAATGGCTGGTTAGTCAATGACGGGTAAGACCCCCTCAAGGGAGGGATGACCTAAGCCAGGCACAGACGCCGGGGTTCAGTGGAAGATCTTAGGGGGTCACCCTAAAAGAAACTGGGGATGAGAAATGCCCCCTGTGGCTCACCTTGGCCATCCTTGCTAATCTTGGTCCTTTATCTATGCCTCGGCCTAGAGCAACCACCTTGAAATTCTGAGTCAGGAGATATCTGCTTCCCTAAGGCTACGCTTTCGGGAATTTATGGCTATCTCTGCCATGCCTGGGTGGTTACATACAAGGAACTAACTTTAATATTTTAAAATATAAAAATAAAACGGACCAGGTATATTACTACTCGAGTCAACTGTCTGTATGTGTGTCTGTGTTTCTCTTTGTGTTCTGCGCATTTGTGTTTTATGTTCTGTGTTCATCCTCCATCCTGTAAACAGGCCATGGCAGTTGTCCTCAGGGAAGCTCATCTGAGCCTTGGTGCCCAGTGCTGCTCACTGAGTCACTCCCAGGTGTCACAGCACCTGCATACCTGACCTTCACTGCTCAACACCAGCCCCTGGGGCATGAGCTGGCATTCACCATAAACACTATGTGATCAAGTACTGTAGTGTATTCATCCCCCACACAAACAAGTATAAAAGCAAGATAAATGATAACAATAACATAATAATATTAGAGGGTTTGAGAGGAAATCTTGGGAGGTGATGGATATATTTATGTCCTGGTGTTGGTTAGGTGTATGCATACACCCAAACTCATTCAGTATGGAAGTTGAATATTGTAATTACATGGAAAGCACACCTTAATAATGTTGGTTTAAAAATGCTATTATCAGGAGCAGTATGCCAAGGTTTCAGAACTGATCTCTCAGGAGCTGACAATGAGTGGGTCACCAGAATGGAATTTCTCAGAAATGGACATGGTTTGGACAGCCCAGGCCTGCTAAGTAAACTCTTTCCTGTGCATCAGTACAGCTCAGATGAAAAAGGGTTGTTAGAATGAAAGTCATGACTCAGAATAAAAGAGAGAGTGAAGAGGGATTTAAGATCAGAACCAATGTTGGTGCAACATGGAATGAAAGTGATGTTGTGAACCTGTGCAGGGACTATAGGGCAGACCTGGGGCATGGGGTAAGGCAGGGCAGGTGTGTTCTCCAGAAGCCAAAGCAGCAGGTGCCACATTGCAGAGAGGGGGAAGAGGCCATGAAGAGCTCATGTGGGGTGCAGTAGAATGGGGGAGTTATTATGTTGTAGACTTAGGACAGAGGGAAAGTAACAAGCACATTCTCCAATAGAGCATCTGCAGAATGAAGGTTTGACAAGTCTCCTTCCTGAGCTTCCATTCCTACATCAAAGACAGATTAATCGATTCCCAAACCTGATGGTTATGGCCGAATGTGAGAGTGAGGAAGGAGAAGAGAGGTGTTTCTGGGAGAGAAAAACCTGGACATCACAGCCTCCCTAACCTCACACCACACTGCCTGTGCTCATGCCACAGCTGAGAGTCTCATCCTAGTCATGCAGTGGGAGCCACATCAACTCTTTAGTCCACTCCAAAGACCCACTTCCATGTTTTCCTGAGTCTGAGAAGAATGTGGGGTTAGAAGCAACAGCTGAATCTATTTCTCATTAATTTATTCATGATCCTTTAAGGCCAATGAGAGAAATAAATGACATAAGAACTAAAAGAGTAGAAATATCAACAAACCACTGGTTTTTCCTCCTATTGAAACATGAAAATGACCAACACTCAGATAGACTAACTAGGGGAAAAGGAGACACTACTCAAATAAATAAATTCAGAAAGTAAAAACATTAAGACTGATACCACCAGATTACAAAAGAAAGGACAGATGATGGTCCTGACAGTGGTCAAGGTTGTCTCAGTCTTCCAGGTCAGAGGTAGGTTCCTCGTCTCAGCACCAAGGACGTGCACTGAGAAGGGATGTTTTTGGTGTCCACAGGCTTCTGGGAAACACGATGAAATTTTCAAACACTCACATCTTGGTAAGAATCAAAAATCCAAGTTTGTTCAATCTCTGAGTTTCCTAGAAGAATTCAGGAGACTCTGAGGCTAGATTTGTGCAAATATATGGCAACAGTTTATACTCCCCAAATATCTGACCATATAAGAATTTAAAAAAATTCAGAGTAAGACGGATTCAATTATTACCCTATCATGTATGAGGGAAATATTCAGAATAAAATCCAATTATCTTAATTCTTTATCCCACAATTACACCTGAGCCACTTCCACTGAAGTGGGGCTGCTGAGCTCCCTCCATGCAGGAAGTGTCTGACTATGTAAAGCTGTACTGGGGTCTCTGCAGACTCTGCAGCCTGCAGGGCCAGCTCCTCCTCAGACTCGGCAGTCAGGGAGATCTCTGCTCTCTCTCTGGGTGAGGCTAGGGCTTGTGTCTCGAAATGACCGAATTACTCGAGATCTCTGCACATGGACAGAAACCACTGGATGTGGGACCCAGTTGGTCACACTACAGATAACAATTCCTCATGTGAAGGGAAACACTGAGCCAGGAGAAATTTAAGGAAAAAGGTGGCAAACATGGAAATTATAATTGTTTGCAGACTAAATGCTTCTTTTTATATATCATCTGAGAGGCTCATGTAGAACCGTATTATCTTTTATGGAAATCTATGACCAGTGTGTGCACCTCAAGGATTTTCCTCTCTGCCTCCACCTATGGGTGGTCCAGGACCAGGCACCCAGCTGCCACTCTCCACCATCCACCCCCGGGTGTGTGCTAAAGACTCACATCCTGTGGGGACCACTTCCAGGTGATGACACATCCTGGCAGAACCCTAAGTAACAGTCATGGCTGGGAGATCCAGTGGTCCTATTAAGGGCAACTTAGGCTCACACAGGCATGGATGGTTCTGCTACATTTTGCTTCGACTGCAGTGTAGTCAGGAAGTTCCACTAACCTCCCCACTTGCAATGAATGTCACATTGCATCCTGGGCAGACAGTTTCCACAACCTCACCTGACTCCTGTGCGTTCTTCTGCCTGCATGAATGGTAAATAATTTGGTGGCATATGAGAATGATTTATCCTCATATAAGAATATTTTCAAGTTCACAGACATCATTGGTAGGCACAGAATTTTAAATATAGACAGGCTTCCAGGGGAAACTGTAAGATACAGAGGGAGACTTAGGTTTTCCCTGGAAAGTGGACCTTAACCTCCTGTGCACCTGACATTAACCTCACTCTATCTACACTTGCCCTGGGCCTGACTCTGCTTCCTGTGTCCTGCCTGCCCCCTAGTGGCCCTATGAGACCCCACAGAAGGTTTGTGTCTGGGCTCACAATGGCACCCCTCACTGTGTCTCTTGCTCAGTAGTACATGGCCATGTCCTCAGCTCTCAGACTGTTCATTTGCAGATACAGCATGTTATTGCTGTTGTCTCTGCAGATGGTGAACCGGCCCTTCATGGAGTCTGCGTAGTATGTGCTAGCACCGTTCCAGCTAATATGAGAGACCCACTCCAGCCCCTTCGCTGGAGTCTGGCGGACCCACTCCATGGCATAGTCATCAAAAGTGAATCCCGAGGCTGCACAGGAGAGTCTCAGGGACCCCCCAGGCTGGACCAGACCTCCCCCAGACTCCACCAGCTGCACCTCACACTGGACACCTGCAAACACAGACACATACTGGTCAGAAACTGCCTGACACACACCCACTGTTTCTCTCACTCATATCCACTCACACACCCATTGTATCTAGTTCTCCATGAATTACCTGTTAACAGAGCAACCAGGAAAACCCAGCACAGCGCAGACTCCTTGGTGAGTGTCTGTGTTCAGTCCTGATCATGGAATTGGGACACCTGGGAATGCCAGGGCTGGGGCTCCTTTCCCAGAGCTGCAGGTTGAGGGCTGGGCTGGTTTTCATCAGCAGAGGGAGAGCCCTATTTGCATGTCCCTTGATATATAGTAAGCTCTGGGCTGGATCTCTGAATGAGGACAGGGCCCAGAGAAAAACTGTGTGATGGCGCAGTGATTACTATTAACTTCTGTTGGTTTATCTAATTTACAGGCACACATAAACGATGTGTCGCAGATATCAAATTTCCATGCATTTTACACATGTAAAATTACCCAAGAAGCATACAGAGGTTTTGTCATATGTCCAGGAACACATATCATAGAAGAATCAATCTTAGTGTCTGACCTATAGTCCTTTCCTTGGAACCCACCTCAGACAAGAGCTGGACATGCCTATGGTGGTTTCTAGAATTTTGATTCTCGATAAGAATGTAAAGGAAATTTTTTTCCTTCATTATATAATATATACAAAATTTGAAAGATAATGTCAATGCAGATCCATTTCCAAGTACCTAAAGTTTTACTTATTTTTATCTATTTCTCCATCAAGCTGTTTCTACCAACTAATCTATTTAACTGTTCATATTAACTCCAGTGAGGCATAGTTGATAAACAGTGGCCTTGACATGGTTAAAGTGTGCAAATGAAAGATGCTGACAGCACCAACACCATATTCCTGATATCAAGAAATAAATTCCACAATATTCTGACTTTTTCTTTTAAAATTTCTACATTCTTTCCCTTTCCATCTCCTGCCAGTTATACAGGCAACTGCTCATATAGTTTATGTTACTTTATGTTAGTTTTCACTTTCCAGAATTTATAAAAGTGAAATCATGAAGAAGTGTGATTTTTTGCTTATTTACTCCCTGTACATACTTGTGGATGCAACCACATTGTAGTGTGTGTGAGACATTAGTTCTTGTTAAATATGGGTAGTGTTCTAATGAATCATTAAAATATGCTTATTTATTAAGCTGCTGGTTAATATTTTGATTGTTTCCAATTTTTTGCTATTAAGGATAAAGTTTCTCTTCATCTAGGAGAAGGAGGCAGCTGAGAAAAATCAACCTTACCATCGATCTTACATCAACCCAAACAATAGTAACATCATTACCATCTATAAAGCATGACTGTAGAAGCTGTAGATTATAAAATTTTATTTAATATTTCAAACAGCAGAAGTTGTATTACCAACAACAAGCCTGAAATCTACAGAGAGCAGCACTTGCAGGGAGAAACAGGACCAGAGCAGTAGCTCATAGGCACAGTCCACCAGATGGCATGTGGGCTAGCACAATACTATATTGGACATAGATATCAGATATTGAACACTTGAAGCTGATTTGAATGGAGATTAACAGTTAAATTTGTCCAGTTGGTCACATAATTGGGGAATTCCTATTCTATTCCCCTGAGATTTCTTCCCTCCGGAATTCGGGACACTCATAAGGGTGGCACCCTCCACAGATGGTCCTGTCTGAGAAGAGGAGACACGCTTTCTGAAATGCATTGGACCACCTCCTCCTGTCCTCTTACCGGATCAGCAACTTAGTCCTTGTAATGACAAGAGGCAGAAATCAGTGGGTCGTCCTAGGCCACTGGGTAAACCTAAACAGGAAATTGGAGGGAGAGATGTCACCTATTTTAAAGAGGAAAACAAAGAAGTATGGCTCAGAAAACATCTCCACACAGAAACAAAGGGCTTGATCTTCAGGGACACGGCAGCAAAGATGTGCGAAGTGAAGAGGCTGATGGATAAGTGTCGCGGGCTTTTGGGAGAACTGGAAAAGAACCAGGAAAAGAGAGGCAAGAGAGGTACGAGGGTAGCATCGGCTCTTGTGGACGGACAGGACATACACCCAAAGGGCGCACAGTGCAGACAAGGGCATGATGCCTGCCTAGAAACCTGTGTCAGGGAAGGAAGTCAAAGAAGGGCCCACCTCAAGCCACATCGTTCCACCACATCAAACCATTATCAGGTAAAGCAAATTGAGACTACCCTGGAAAGCTGCAAAATAGATTGTTTCAGAACAGGGAGTGTAAACAAAAGGCCAGACAGGAGAGGCACATATGATGATCAGGAGGTGTCAAACTCTTTTTTGAATCATGAGGAAACAGAAAACCTTCAACACTTGGGAGCCACTTCATAATACATTTCCAAATGCAATCTGACTAAAGCCCAAAAACTTCCACCAGTAACAGCCTAGATAACATAAGTGTGGCACAATATACAGGGAGAAAAATACATAATATGAAATAATAAGTCAATACCTAAGGCAGCCATCCCCAGAATTCTGACTAAAATATCAAAAATTATTCGGTTATAATAAACGTGATATTCAAAAAAGTCCATAATGGAGGTGGGTGGAGCAAGAATGGCGGACGAGATAAGCACTGCAGACAGAGTGTCTCTGCACGAAAAGACAGATTCTAGCAGAAATTAGAAAAAACCAAGCAAAAAGAACGAGGCATACTAGGGGACGAGCCGGTAAGGAGGAGTACTTGGGATCGCCGGAAGATCCACGGGAAGTAGGCCTGTGGAGGAGAACTTGAGGCTGAGACCCACCGAGCAGCCCGGAGACCAGCGGCAAGGGTAGGTGGATTTGCTTTCCCTCCCCCTGCCTTTGGACTGATGTGGCCCCCCCAGCTGGTGGAGAGACCCCGGCACCCAGCCTAGAGACAGCCACCGCAATCCAGCGGTAAGCCTGAGCAAGACCGTAGGCAGCCAGGTCCCAACTTCCTCCTAGCACCCTCCCATGGCACGGACACTGAGCCACGCGTCAGCACCATATAGCCTCCCTCCCCCCTCCGCTGAGCCCTACCGCCAGCTGCCCACGAGAGACAATACAGGCACCCCAGCAGATCAACCCCCTAGAGAATGGGACCTTCCCTTTTGGGACCGTACAGCTGACTAAGGGAACGTCAGACTGTGAGCTCCCTACCCGCCAGCGCTTCCAGGCGCTGCACCGCGTGTTGCCCAAGACGAAATGGTGCCCGACTCAGAGCATGAGAGACAATAGAACCCAGCTTGGGCTCCCTGTGGGTGAATTGGCGACCGGAAATTCCTCCCCTTGGTGGGGATACGAGTTTAAACCGGACCAGAGGTCCGGACCTGCAGACGCAGATCCCCCTTGCTCGCGAGGGCTACAATTGCCCCGGGTCAGCAGAAAAGGTTATAAAGGAACAGCCACCTGACGTGGTGTGGCCCCAGGGAAGAATCAGCATCCTAAGGGCAACCCCTCCCCAGGCGCAAGGCCATGCCCCACCCCAGGTGGCGTTCCTATGCAGGGAACTTCCTGCCGGCATCACAGTCCGGGGGAGGCCTGGTGGCCTTGGTCCGGCCTGCTGGCAGAGGCCCAGGAGGTAGTTGCAGAGTTGGGGAAGGTGGAAAGAAGCCGAGGCCCGCTCGCAGACGTGGGTGTCAGACAGCCCATCCCCCCACACCCGCAGACTGTTTTGCCTGAGCGGACCAATTCCAGCCCCGCCCGAACAGCTTTTCCTGAAGCAGAGAACAGAACTTTGACCCCCTGTACGCCTGAGGGCAGGCATTTACCCAACTCAAGCTCCGCCCAGAAACAAGAGCTGATAACAGGACACAAATCAATAGCATAGCCTTGTTCCTTCCAAGCAACACGCCACCTACTGACAGGGACGGCATCTGCACAGCTTGTTTCCACGGCACATCACTTGACTCAATATACCGCAGGGAGGGTCCGCATCTCACCCCACAGATCCACCTAAGGCCTCAGAAACCAAACAAGGTGTGTGAATACCCAAAGCATAACCTAAAGGAAAGAACAACAACCTGATCGACATGGGAAGAAATCAGCGAAAGAACTCCAGGAAATATGAAGAACCAAATACGGAAAACACACACCCAAAGAGGAGCCCAGCCCCCCATAGAAACGGACACGGACCAAAACAGGCAAACCAAAAAAGTATGACCGAGAAGAGGAATTTCGTATGGGATTCAATGAGAACACACACGCGAGCTGCCAACAACAACTCAATAAAACCAACACAAAGAAACCACAAAAAGCCTCCCAAGGATACTGGAAAAAGAACGACCCAAATGAAGGAAAAGTATAACAAAACTCCTGACAATGAAGAATCAATTCAAGGAACTACAAAATACACGATGGAAAAGTCCACAAGAACAGGGTAGAGCAACAGAAGAAAGAATCTGCAGAGCTTTGAGATAACAACCCTCCAATTTAAATAGAATCATCACAAGAAATAGACGCAGGAAACAAGAGAAAAAGAGAAAACCCATACAAAGACTGTGGGATTATGTGAATAAACGCTAATGTGGGGTCATAGTGGTCTTACAGAAGGGGATGAAGACAACACTGGACACTGAACTTCTGTTGGTTTATCTAATTTACAGGCACACATAAACGATGTGTCGCAGATATCAAATTCCCATGCATTTTACACATGTAAAATTACCCAAGAAGCATACAGAGGTTTTGTCATATGTCCAGGAACACATATCATAGAAGAATCAATCTTAGTGTCTGACCTATAGTCCTTTCCTTGGAACCCACCTCAGACAAGAGCTAGACATGCCTATGGTGGTTTCTAGAATTTTGATTCTCGATAAGAATGTAAAGGAATTTTTTTCCTTCGTTATATAATATATACAAAATTTGAAAGATAATGTCAATGCAGATCCATTTCCAAGTACCTAAAGTTTTACTTATTTTTATCTATTTCTCCATCAGGCTGTTTCTACCAACTAATCTATTTAACTGTTTATATTAACTCCAGTGAGGCATAGTTGATAAACAGTGGCCTTGACATGGTTAAAGTGTGCAAATGAAAGATGCTGACAGCACCAACACCATATTCCTGATATCAAGAAATAAATTCCACAATATTCTGACTTTTTCTTTTAAAATTTCTACATTCTTTCCCTTTCCATCTCCTGCCAGTTATACAGGCAACTGCTCATATAGTTTATGTTACTTTATGTTAGTTTTCACTTTCCAGAATTTATAAAAGTGAAATCATGAAGAAGTGTGATTTTTTGCTTATTTACTCCCTGTACATACTTGTGGATGCAACCACATTGTAGTGTGTGTGAGACATTAGTTCTTGTTAAATATGGGTAGTGTTCTAATGAATCATTTAAATATGCTTATTTATTAAGCTGCTGGTTAATATTTTGATTGTTTCCAATTTTTTGCTATTAAGGATAAAGCTTCTCTTCATCTAGGAGAAGGAGGCAACTGAGAAAAATCAACCTTACCATCAATCTTACATCAACCCAAACAATAGTAACATCATCACCATCTATAAAGCATGACTGTAGAAGCTGTAGATTAGAAAATTTTATTTAATATTTCAAATAGCAGAAGTTGTATTACCAACAACAAGCCTGAAATCTACAGAGAGCAGTACTTGCAGGGAGAAACAGGACCAGAGCAGTAGCTCATAGGCACAGTCCACCAGATGGCATGTGGGCTAGCACAATACTATATTGGACATAGATATTGAATCACTTGAAGCTGGATTTAATATGGAGATAACAGTTTAAATTTTCCAGTGGTCACATAATTGGGGAATTCCTATTCTATTCCCCCTGAAATTTCTTCCTCCAGGATTGGGGACACATCATAAGGTGGCACCCAACAGATGGTTCTGTCTGAGAGAGAGGGAGAACACGTTTCTGAAATGCATTCAGACCCACCTCCTCTGTCTCCTACGGATCTATTCAATTATCCTTGTAAGGACAAGAGGCAGAAATCAGTGTCCTAGGCCCACTGGGAAACCTCACAGGAAATAGGAGTGGGAGAGATGTCACCATTGAAGTTATGCTAAGAAATATCTCCATCACAGGAACAAAGGCTTGATCTTCAGGGACAGGCAGCAAATGTGGAAGTTGAAGAGGCTGATGGATAAGTGTCCGGGCTTTGGGAGAACTGGGAAAAGAACCAGGGAAAGAAAGGCACTGAGAAGGTACGAGGGTAGCATCGGCTCTTGTGGACGGACAGGGCAACACCCAAGGGCATAGTGCAGACCAAGGGCATGATGCCTGCCTAGGAACCTGTGTCAGGGAGGAAGTCAAAGAGGGCCACCTCAAGGCCACCTCTTCTACCACATCAACCATTATCAGGTAAATGCAAATTGAGACTAACCTGGGAAAGCTGAAATAGATTGTCTCAGAACAGGGAGTGTAAACAGAAAGCCAGACAGGAAGCACATATGATGTATCAGTGGAGGTGTCTAAACTCTTTTGTGCTCATAGAACAGAAAACCTTCAACACTTGGAGCCACTTCAATAATACATTCCAAATGCAAATCTGACTAGAGCCACAAAAACTTCCACAGTACAGGCCTAGAAACATAAGGTGTGCACATATACAGGGAGAAAAATACATAATATGAAATAATAAGTCAATGCCAAGCACCAATCCCAGAATTCTGACTAACTTACAAAATTATGGGTTATAATAAATGGATATCAAAAAAGTCATAATGAGGTCGGTGGAGCAAGATGGCAGACGAGAAACACTGCCAGACAGAGTGTCTCTGCAGAAAAGACAGATTCTAGCAGAAATTAGAAAAAAAGAAGCAAAAAGACGAGCATACAGGGGACGAGGGCTGGAAGGAGGAGTACCTGAGATCCCGGGAGACTCCACGGGAGGAGGCTGTGGAGGAGAACTGGAGGCTGAGACCACTGGAGCAGCCCGGAGACCAGCGGCAAGGGTAGGTGGATTTGCTGTTTCCCCTCCCCTGCATTTGGGACTGCTGGTGGGCTCCCCAGCCGGTGGAGAGACCTGCGGACACCAGCCTAGAGACAGCCACCGCCATCCAGCGGTAAGCCTGAAGCAGACGTGGCACCAGGTTCCCAACTTCCTCCTAGCACCTCCATGTGCACAGACCTGAGCCACGCGTCAGGCACCATATAGCCTCCTCCTCCCCTCCGCTGACCCTACCCGCAGCTGCC